CTCATGTTTCCCATTCAACAGGCAGCTTACTTATTCATCTGACTGCAGCATAACCTCAAGTTCAAGTATAGCAATTGCAACTACATCTGTAACTCATAAATGAGATAGATCTTGACTCCAAAAGCATCTGTGACTTGACTGCTAGAGCTACACGTGATCCTATTAGAATAGGATCTTTCGGTTGCCTCTGCGGACCAAAAGTCTGGGCAGGAGTGAAAGGTTAGCTTGTGAAATTCTGTATAAGAACCCTTGTATCATAATCTCCGCTATCTGTAGATGGCTTTAAAATGTATCTGGTTTCCTTTCATGCACTTTATCTGTGAATTAGGCAGAGCTCAGACAGAACAAAACCATTTTACGTAAAAACAAGGAAAATGAGGCTCAGAGAGGTTTCCCTGCGTCACTGAGCAAGGACATTGCAAAGGCAGAACTTGAACCTGGATCTTCTGGCCCCAAGCCTTTGTCCTCCGCAGGGCAGGCTGGCCTCCTGGTTTTAACTTGTCGCTAAGGTCAGAAAAACATATGAGTGTTCACGATGGCCGCAAACTGCGGTGAACTAGCCAGCAAAGCAGTTCTCTTTTATTCCTTTGTTTGTTCTTTCCCTTTGATGAACTTTATGGCAACTTGGCCTCTGTTTTGTGAACTCTCAGGGGTGATGTGAAATGACACACTGTGTATTTTGAGTCTCAAGAAACTTTTCTTCTGAGCGTCTTGAAGGGTTTTGAGTGTCTCTGGGAACAGCTGACCTAGAATCTTCAGAAAGCATAGCTGCAAGAATCTTTGCTACTGACAGAATCACTGTGATGGATACAGGGCTCTTCCCGGGCCTCTCTTCTCTCTTTACTCCTCCCTCTTGCTGCCTTCACTCAACACGTGGCATTGGCTTGGTCCCTTGTTCACCTGCCCCGTGGCCAATGCTGTGCTGGACACTGGGGAGAAAAGGGGGAACAAAGTAGACTCGGCTCCAGCCCCCGAGGGACTGGCATTCCAGAGGGGGACAGGCACATCATCAGGTAGAGAAGGAAACAAAATGAATGGAGATTTGCTCCATCACGTGGCGGATGGGGATGGGGTTGGAAAGCATGTTTGTTTCAGAAAGAGCGATCAGGGAGGCAGGCAGCGCTGGGGAGCTGACATTTGAGCTGAGACATAAAGGAAGAAAGGACGCAGTTCAGATAGAAGATGAGCACGGGCCAAGGTCCTAAGGAGAGAGTGAATTTGCACGCGTCCCAGGAGTATTGATGAGGCCAGAGTGCCTGGAGCACAGTGAGCGAGGGGTAGAGGGGAGTAAGGTGGGATTGAGAGCGGGCCAGGAGCAGCTCATGAAAGTTTGGATTTTATTCTAGGATCGATGGACAGCCATTGAAGGATTTTAAGCAAGGGAATTAGATATGACTAGATTTATATAGATTTATATTAGATAGATGGAAAGATAGATAGATATAGATGATAGATAGATAGATAGGGACAGACAGACAGATAGATAGACAGACAGATTTAGATATAAATGGCTGGTGGATTGAAGAAGCAAGAGTAGGACCAAGGAGACAGGATTCAAGCCTGTTTTTGATTTGGTTCTGATGAAATACCCGTGGCTTATGTCAGGGTGATGGTAGCGTGAGTGGAGTGAAGTGGACATGTTTCAGATTTCATCTGTAATTTCTGATGGATGGGATGTGAGGCCACAGAGAGCATCATGACCCGATTGCATTAGTGTCCCCTTTGGCCAGGGATGGGTGGTGTGGAGGGTGACCATAGGTGCGGGTTAGTCATAACATGGCGGTCTTACGACATTACCCATCTTTCCCACTGAGGTCCCTGGGAATTGGCACTCTTCCTTTGGGCTGTGCTGAGCCAGCTCTGAGGATAGGAGGTCGCTGACGTGCCTGGCATACCTGCTGTAAGAGTAGAGCTCAAGTCCACATCTTCCCTAATAACCTTGTGTCTAAATGGTAGTGTCACACAAGGGCGTGTTTAGAGATTAGCATTTGAAAAGAAGCCTCCTTGCTTTCAGTTTGAGCTGACATGGTCCCTTTTCCTCTGTGGAAATGAAATTTATTAATCATAATAAAACCATCGGATTCTGAAGGTAGAGGTCACCCTGAGGAGAAAAAAGAGCTCGCTCATTTGCAAGGACTGGTTCGGTGCTGCTGTATTTTTCTTCTGCCTGGGGAGGGAACACTGCCAAACGGTTACCTTGGGTTTTCCACAGGGGTTGAAACTTGGCCCAGGGTTATAGATAGATAAGAATTGACCATTAAAGTATGCGAGAGGAGAAGTGGGGCTGCGTTTTCACGGAATACATTCAGACTGCCAATCTGTTGTCTCCCCAAAAGAGGACGTTTTGCCACAGTAAAACCGGTCCCCAAATTAAAAAACTAATCATCGTTGCTCTGAGTTTGCATTTTCACGTTTTCAAGGAACACCATGCTGCGGCTTCACTTAGTAAATGTCCAAGCATTTTTAGTTTGCCTTTGCTGTTTACGGCCTGTTCCTACAACCAGCTTTGCCAGCTGAAAGTACATAAAAAATAATCGTATTAACAGTTTTTTTCTCCAGACCCATGACAGACTTTATTTTCTCATGAAATGAAAATCAACACCAAAGTCATCCATCGTGTTCTTTTGGCCCTATTAGTATCTACTTCTAATAATGGGTAGAGAGGCCCGGGTTTCATGAGTGACCTCCACGAATAAAAGAGTTTTTTCAAAAACTTCATCATTCTTCTTGTTTTAACACACCCTGTCTTGGATGTACATCTGTTTTCTTTTTCTCCCAGAGACAGGGAGATTCTTTGATGAAAGGCCATTTTCGATGAGTCAGAGGCATGAAGGGTGTCCCGAGGAATGAAAAGCAAAGGGGGTTGACTATTTCTTCGTTTCGCTGAGTCATCTCAGAAAAGAAACATCTATGCATGTCACTACTTTTTTTTTTTTTTTTTTTTTTTTGCGGTACGCGGGCCTCTCACTGTTGTGGCCTCTCCCGTTACGGATGGAGCACAGGCTCCGGACGCGCAGGCTCAGCGGCCACGGCTCACGGGCCCAGCCGCTCCGCGGCATGTGGGATCTTCCCGGACCGGGGCACGAACCCGTGTCCCCTGCATCGGCAGGCGGACTCTCAACCACTGCGCCACCAGGGAAGCCCCATGTCACTATTTTTGAGGATCAGGACAAAGACTCATGTAGATTATTTGAGCTCAGGGACCTTTGAAACAAGCAAAAGGAGGGCTTGGGAGTAAGACATGTCCAATGAGAGCTTGGTATAATCATATATTTTTTTCCATCTGGAGTCGAACTCAGAGCCTGAGAGTTAGAAGATTCTTCCTCCAGCTTCTTCCCACCTTCCCGGGCTCCATGGTGTGAGATCCATCCAGTACGTTCTTATCCATCAACTATGAGAAAGAAGACTGGAAGACAGGTGGGGGAAGATAGGGAAGGAAAAGAATAAGGTCCGTGCAAATTAGACTCCAGGGTGATAGCACAGGCAAACGATGTCTTCCTGCCTTGTTCCTTCATTCTTTAAAGGAAAGTTCAAGACTTGACAGCTGTGGATAATCCACATCTACCCCGTTTAGTGGCTGGTGTACCCCTCCCCCAGCCGCTGTGAATGTTGGTCGCTAATGGCACCCAGTTGCCTCTTTCTGCAGAGCCTTACCCTCTGCCAAAGAGTCACTTCAACTAGGAAGTTATTCTCTGCCCTTCTGGGAAGCCCACAGCTAATGCTTAATGTACATGAACATTACAAAAACCAACCCACTTGCCTCCAGATGGGATCAGCTCTGGGGTGCAACTCTCAGGATCAGGTAGAAGCTAAACTCCGGCTCAGACCACATACGTCCTTGCTTCTCTGTTTTGCCTTTCCCCGACCTGCTCGCCACTCTCTCCTCTTGAAAGCACCCCTCAACAAACCAGGTACGGAAGAATCTCCATTTCGGGCTCTGCTTCCAGGGACCCTCACCTAACCTAGCCTGCATCTCAGCTTTGATCGTTACCAAAACAGCAATGTTCAAACTCTCTCCAAGAAGATATCTGGCAGGCCATTCAAGGAGAAGGGTACCTGGAACCATGGAAAAGGTGTGATAGTTGCCCTGAGAGGTTCAAGGATCGGCTCTGACTCTGTCTAGCTCTGTGACCTTGAGCAAGTGACTCAACTTCTCTGAACCCTAATTTCTGATTTGTTGCACTGTTCAGTTCCAGACACTTTGTAGCTATCCAACGCAGTAGGCTTCCATCCCTTCTACATTTTTATTCTAAAACCTGTGCTGGGAGTCAGGAAAGTGGAGGGAGGAGGATGGGAGAGAGAGAGAGAGAGAGAGAGAGGAAAATAAAAAACTCAGATAAGGAAATGGCATCAAGAAATATATTGTTTGAAACATGTCCCTTGCCAGAACCTGGCTAGAGATGATGAGATAGAAGAGATAGATGGGGTGAGAGAACCAAAATCAAATCAGGCTGTAATTCTTGAGTGGTGGGGCGGCGGTCCCACGGATCCTTTAAGGATGCATCTATTTGAATCCATTTGTTCTTTCCCATTCTAAGATGTTGGACCCTAAGTGTACAGACTGGGTCGCTTCACTCCTTTTGATCCACCCTGTCTCGCTTGATTGGTGACAGCTATATTAGGAGAAGAGGACAATTCCTCTTGATTATAGCTTGTCCTTTGTGGTTACTGGCTTTCTTAAAACCACTCTTTCAAATGGTTTCCTGTGCCTCCCTCCATCTTCGACGTACCTACCTGAGCAGCGTAGCGAGGGGTGTGCGAGAGAGAGGAAACGCGCGCACACACACACCCCTTTATCACCAGCGGTGTTAAATGGACAAAGGAATGTGTTGTATAAGATGGACTTTTCTCGTGTTACAGGGCTGATTGGAATATGTTTCCTATTTCTCAAGATGAATAGGGCCCCTCCACACTGTCCTGGTATTTTGTGTTTTATGGTTGTTATTATTACTTCATAATTGCATATTACGGATTAATCTTCACCTCTGTCTTCCTTTCAGTTACGGACGAGTTTATGCTACCGACCCCTACCACCACACACTTGCTCCAGCCCCCACCTACGGCGTTGGTGCCATGGTGAGTACCAGTTCCTCCTCTTCCTCACTTCTTCCTGCCTCCCATCCCTCCCCACAGCTGGGACCTTAGGACGGGTTGACGGTTGACGTCCTCTCACTTTCCCTTAATTGAATTTGCCTCCTGCTAACAGCAGCTAAAATGCCACATTAACCCTCCCGGTAAACTTGATAAATGTCTTAATTTCTTGGCAATGTAGTGCATGTGAGTTATTATATTTCTCATTTTGCGAGTCTCACCTAGCCGAGCTCTTACCTTAATGGAATAATTAGTCATTTTGATAATTAAATCCATCACGAACAGAATGCAGTGTCAATGCAGAACTTTTTTTTTTCTTTTTTTTTTCCTCCCTCCCTTGCTGCTCATTCACATAGCCCCAAGGTTCCAGCCCCAGCACAGACTTCAGAGGAGCTAAGCTGCACGCTTCCAGGCCTCTGCTGTCAGGCAGCCGAGAACCTGACTGCCTCTCCTCCCCTATTACAATTCATGTTTAAAGTCATAGTCGCCCAGGAAAGAAAATAGAGAGACGGGCACCCTTTGTGTGTGTGCCTAGTACATAAGGAATTAGAAGGAATCAGTTTGGGGGTTGTCTTTTGTTTTTTTGCGGGGGTCTGGGTTTTTGTTTGGGGAGGGG